GTCAAGAACATCAATCGCACGCTGGCCCTTCTTGTTCTGGTGATGTGGGTTCACGTGTCCTTTGCTGAGCAGAAGCTTGACAACCTCCAGGTGCCCGTTCTCCACAGCATCGATAAGAGGTGTGTCACGGTCGCCTGATTCGCAGTCTGTTCGACAACCCTTATCGATGAGGAACTCCACAACTTCGGCCCATCCATTCAATGCAGCCTTTTGCAGAGGTGTGATACCCGCAAAGTCGGCCTGGTCCAGCTCGCCTTCAGCTTCTTCGTAAGCAAGCTTGACAGCATCCAAATCGCCCTTTTCGCTCTCTCTCGCCAGCCGCGTCGCACCGAATCTGTCAGTTTTTCTACCGTGGGGCAACGTGCGCGCAGGGGAGGTTAATGCTCGATGTGTGGCGCGCTTGATGCGTGTGTGTGGGTTTGCATCCGTAGCTCGAGGGGAAGATGAACGCTCAGAGCTGGAATCTGAGTAGCGTTCTGTTGACACGGCAAGACCCGGTGCATCTCTACGTTTCCGTCCAGCAACACCAGAAACGATGGACTGCGTCGATTGCGAGCGCTTGTGTGTGCGACCGAAAGCTCCCTGGGCGAAAAGTTAGCAAAGGAACAGGAAGGTTGAAAACTATAGCTGATGCTTACTGTCGCAGGTGAGTTGGGCTGTGTGCGATCCTTCAGCCCTTCTGTTTTGGCTTTCTGGCGTGGAGGCTCCAAGTTCTTGAATTCGTCACGCAGCTTGCGCTTTCGACTTTCGACCGTAGAAGCGCTCCGGCCCCTAGTGATAGTCTGGGTAGGAGACAACGCGTGATTGGTGGGAGATCCAGCTGGGCTCGTGTCTTTGGTCTGCCGTGAAGTTGTGCTTGGTGAAGTAGGTACGGGACTCTTTGCATCGTCAGAACCATCTTTGGCATGGCCATTCGACTTTGAGTTTTTCACATCGCTGGAATGTCTGCGGCCGTTCTGCGGTGAATGCGAGCGTGTGTTTTCTTTGATGGTGTCGAGCCGCGCCGATTCATCGTCGTCACGCTCTGTCTTGATCATCTTCTTCTCGCTCGGCTCGTCGTCTCTGGATAGTACGACCGTCTCGGCCTCAGATTCATTATCATCGTGGTCACCATTCGGGATGACTGGCTCATTTTGTTTGGACGAGGGCGAGGTGAGCTTGGGTGCAGGTTGGGCAGCGTCGCCGGTGTTGTTGCGCGGGCTTCGAGAAGTATCGAGGGATGCGTTCAGGTCGCCATTACTGGTCATCACGCATATATGGGACAGGACACGGGAGATCCTGCCTCATGACGGCTTGCAGAGCAAGGGACGACAGGCGTGGAAGGCAGGCGGCAAGAACGCGGCGCTCAACGTCCTAATACGGAAGGGCCGTCGCGTGATGGGATTGCGTGCCCACAGCGACACCAAAGGGAGCGGCGGCAGGTGGTGGTCGGCGTGTTGTTGTGATGGGGAGGCGTGTGCGGAGGAGAGAGCAGGAAGGACGCTGCTGGACGATAGCAGGCAGAGGTGGGCCACTCAGCATGCTGCACCATCACTGGCTTGAGCCCGGTCGCAGCTGGCCCAGGCTCAACCCTGCACTACGAAAGCGTCCTGCGCGGAGGCATCGTTATTCCTGCTTTCAGTGTCGCGCGTCGAGTGCGTGCGATGAGAAGGGTACGGGTATTGCCGTGAGCTACGGTGATGTGTTCTGACGCGAGGGCACCCAGATTTGCTGCTGTTGGCTCTTTGCAGCATCCTTCAGCCAGTGTTCGCAGCACCGTAGAGCAACCTGGGAGAAGCAGCCACATTTGCCGCTAAGCCGGGATCTGCGCGTTAATTAACCTCGTTTGTCCAGCCTGCATCTTCGCTCGTGATCGTCTTTTGCCCTGCAACAACAGGCGGGAGTGTGCCCACGGGTTCCAGCAGGACATGTTTGACAGCCGCAGCGCCATTGGAGTGGCCTTTGAAGGCTTGCATCGACAGCGCCTCTAAAATCACTCGGTGTGGCTGTTCGTGGAGTGCAAGCGGCCAGTGGACAAGGTTCCGCTAACTTCGTAACCCACAACCCTGAAACAAAGCCGCCAAATCAAGCAGCCCAGTCAACCCATTCTTCTTTCATCACAGCCCTCCTCGCACGCTCTTCGCTGCGTCCAAAATTCGTGATTCTGCTTCATCATGACCTCGTTGGCCATGCAGAGTCAGTTTGGGGATTTACTCAATCCAGTCATCCTCCTGCGCGCTTTCTATCTTGCAGCCTCACTTCTTGTATTGCGACACCAGCCAGCTTGATCTGCGCTACACTGACCTGCTCTGCTTACTAGATCATTGTCATACAGGCCGTTCCTGCGCTGCGCTGCCGCTTTCTTGCCTACGGCTCCCGTGCGACTTCACCGTCCGGTCAAGCGTCAGCTGCACCGAGTCGGCCTTCCCTTGTCATTCAGCTCCTGGACCACGCTGCAACCATCCAGGTTCCACACAACTACTTCACTCAGTTCTATGTCTTATCAACTGCGTGCTCGCTATTCTGGGGGTGGCAGCTGCAAGTGTGGTCTGCCAACGGGCAACTGCAGATAGTCTGGGCCTTGATGCTGCTGCAAGGCGTGCGCCGTATGCTTGAGTCAAATACCTATACATCGTCAAGCACGAGCCGAATGTGGTTTGCTCACTGGCTGCTTGGACTTGTCTTTTACTTGACCATCAACATTGCCATCTGGATAGAAGGTCCTGTCGACAGTCTCTCCGTTTGGGCATCCACTGCACTGGTCGCCGCAATTCTCACAGCGCATGTGCTCCAGCACTCTTACCACGCTTATCTGTATCGTCTGCGCGCCGCGAACAAGGGGTACCAACTTCCGGTGCACCCCATTTTCTCCAACTTGCTATGCCCGCACTACAGTTGCGAGATTGCAGTCTATTTTCTGCTATCATTTCTGGCAGCTCCAAAGGGCAGGACCATAAACTGGACATTGTTTTGTGGTACGATCTTCGTTGCTATCAACCTCGGTGTGACAGCGGTAGGGACGAAGGAATGGTATATTGGAAAGTTTGGCAAAGACAAAGTAGGTTTGAGGAAGAGGATGGTTCCTGGCATCTGGTAGAATGATGCAAGACCGTAAACTTGGGCTTTCGATTCGAATCTAGCACAACCAGCGCAATTTCAATACGTGTTTCAGGCACCTTATTTCGTCCAGCTCGACCACTATCTGCCTAACCAAGACCGAGCGGCCGTTTACCTCCGTGCAAGTGCTGCAATCGCTGAAACTCCAAGCAAGCCACTGTCCTCCAACGACAGGATACAATACCCGAACCGGCTAATTACCCTGCCTGCCCGTTGAATTGTGGGGCACTCAGCGGGGCATCGTGTAGCGAAGGGCTGAAGGGCGGGACAACAAATGCGTGAGCTTCATCCGCTCTCGCGTCATGAGCTGTTACGTTAAGAAGCCGTTCCGCAAGCGTTTGGATTCTTCTTTGTGTTGTGATATTGACATTCCCCCCTTTGTTCCACAAAACATCATACCGTAGCGAGATGTCTGCAGAAGTCCCCAAAGATCTTCCAGAGATGGAGTACCGCTTTGTGGGCAAGAGTGGTCTTCAGATCTCTGCCATCTCTCTGGGAGGTTGGCTCACTTGTTAGTTGCATAATGTACTCTTTTCAGTCGTAGCACTGACCATTTTCAGACGGAGGACACGTTGGTGACGAAAACACCTTCGCCTGTCTCAAGGCCGCCTTTGACGCTGGCATCAACTTTTTCGACGCTGCTGAAAGCTACTCTGGCGGCGAGTCAGAGCGTGTAATGGGGCGCGCAATCAAGCACTTTGGCTGGAACAGAAACGACATCGTCGTTTCTACCAAGGTATATCTCTAGGACTCATTCTAGTGTCTCTTTGCAAACTGTTCTGACATCAACAGATCTACTGGGGTACCCACAACTCCACGCTCCCCTCTCCGCGCAACAAGATAAACAACCTTGGCCTCAGCCGGAAGCACCTCATTGAAGGCACGGAAGCAGCCCTTGCCCGACTCCAGTTGTCCTATGTCGACATAATCTATGCGCACCGTCCCGATCGCCAGACCCCGATCGAGGAGACAGTGCGTGCCTTCAACTTCCTCATCAACACAGGAAAAGCGCTGTACTGGGGCACTAGCGAGTGGCTACCGTCCGAGATCGAGGAAGCCTGGGCTGTGGCAGATCGACTGGGCTTGATTGGCCCAATCGTCGAGCAGCCGGGGTACAGTCTACTGAGGAGAGAGAAGGTCGATGATGAGTTTAAGAACGCCAAGTTGTTCGAGAGGAGAGGACTGGGGCTGACTGTATTCTCTCCCCTCGGAGGAGGACTGCTGACGGGGAAGTATATCGACGGTGTGCCTGAGGACTCACGACTCAAGACTTCGGACGATCCGTACATCCAGTCTGTAATCAAGACGGTGGGTACGCCGGTGTGGACGGAGCAGCAGGACAAAATCAGGGAGCTTATCAAGGTTGCTGAGAGTTTGGGCACAGATGTTGCGACATTGAGTATGGCATGGGTGCTCAGCAATAAGAACGTCACGAGTGCTATCACAGGAGCGAGTCGGCCAGAGCAGATTTATCAGACCGTCAAGGCGGTGGATGTGTATAGAAAGTTGACACCGGAGGTGCTAGAGAAGATCGAGCATATCTTCAAAAATAAGCCTGAAGAGGTCACTCCCAGGTTCGGTGTTTGAGCTATCGCAGAGCATTGAAGAATTGAGAATATAGATCAACGCCAGATCAAGTGTTCGAAATATAACAATTCAACTGAACTTGGCCCAGGTCCGTGAAGGTGATGGAGCAATACTATAGGCGATAATTATAGCAATATCACAACCCACTTGTGGGTATTCTGGTCAAATTAGTGCTCTTGTGTACCCCACCTTGCCGCTGTGCTCGCTTGTGACTCAACGTGCGTCTACCCACAACCTCACCGTGGACAGCTGCTGGCGTCCGCCTGTCATTCAGTATATAGATTATCGATCTGGACTCGAGTTCTATAAATAGAACCGCTACTGTGGCCGAGTTGGTTATGGCGCTAGACTCAAGAGATCCTCTTGCCTTCATCTGGAGGCTCGTGTTCTAGTAGAGAAATCTGCATGGGTTCAAATCCCATCGGTAGCACTATAGGATTCTTTTTGCTGTTCTAGTGAGACTTGTTCAGTTCTTCAGACACTGGTAGTTGCAGAGTGTAGACCGTGTGGTATAGACTAAATTTAACGCATTGCAGCAATAAGCATAAATTTTAAGTTAAAAGACTTAGTTAGCAGGTAAATTAAAGAAGTAGTCTGCAAACCTACTTATAAAGTTATCTTAACAGTAGTTAACGTACTCCACAAGCGAGCCGGTCACCCAAGCGAGCCGGTCACTTTTGCCAAGACTACACCAACACCACAACTACTTTGCAGTATTACAGCACACAACAACAATATATCACACTGCACAGTATATTGTGCTAATCTACAGTACTCTGCGCATCTTTACTGCATGTTTGCGCGTTGTGCCCTGTCTCGCCACATGTGCCACAGCGCCTTGAAGACTGAGTGCTCCTATCAACACGCGACCTCTTCTTTGCCTTCTTCCCATCACTACGAGCCTCAAACTCCTTTAGAGTAGTCAGCCGCACTCCCTCACCAAACGTTAGTGTCCCATTACGCTGGATTTGCTTTCTTTTGTGCGATTTACGACGTGTGGCGGCGTCGTTGGCTACCTGTAGGTCAGCGACCTGGTTGCGCACCAAAACCAGTGAATGCGCCATCAGCTCTGCGTCTTTGGTGAGCTGATTAAGGGCGTCAACCATTGACGTTGGTGAGCTATCAGCGTGTCTCTCAATCTTCTCTCGAATCAGCTTCGATTGAGACCCAAATTCCAGAGTGTTGCTTGGTGTTTTAGACTCCCACGTACTGTTGTCCACAGTAGGTGGCGTTGGCGTGCGCAGCCGTACTTCAAGCTTCGATATCACAGCCTCTGGGTCAAGTGGGACCAGGCCGGCACCTCTGAATCCTCCCTGGATGTTGCTCTCTGTGATTGAGGCGTCAAAAGCCGCTTTGAAGCACGGCAAGAACTCAAGTTTGGTGATGCGAGTGATCTTGCTCCGCATCAGCCGCTCGGCTTGGCGGCCATAGGCCTTCTTCAACGGGGCAAAACACCCTACATCAAGTGGCTGCAGCAGGTGCGACGAGTGTGGAGGCATGCACAGAGTGATAATCTTGTGCTCCTCAGAGTACTGGTGGAATTCCACTGAGTTGTGGCTCTCGTGGCCGTCCAGAATGAGCAGCCGATGGCTGCCAACAGTGCGCGCCTTTGTGTGCTCATCAAAGTGCTTCAACCACTTGACTCCAAGCTCGTTGTTGGTCCAGCCGTTGTCAGAGACATTGAGAACCCAGTCGTCAGGTATACTGGGCTCCTTGTACCAGGCAGAGAGGTGGTACTTGCTAGAGAAGATGATGAAGGGTGGGATAGACCAGCCCTTCGCGTTGACACCCTGGATGACGCTGGTCCACTCTCGGTTGCCCTGCTGTACTGTCTTTGGTCTCCCTCGACGCTCAGAGCCTGTGACAACAGCTCCTGTTGATATAACGCCCATCATAAAGCCAGACTCGTCAAAGTTGTGGGTGTTTTCATCTAGGATACCATACTTGGCTTTGGTATTCTCTACCAACTGGAACCAGTCCCCAATAACCTTAGGATCCTCACACAGGGCTCTCTTGTAGTCATACTTGCGATTGAACTTGATTTTGAGCTCTGGCCGACGTTTGACAAAGTTGGCAGCCCAGTTCTTGCCAACAGGGGTCTGGTGGCGCTCCGCAAGCAGAGAATTGGCCATATCCTCCACATCAGCAAGCCGGGGCGAGTATCCTCGGTCGTCTAGCTTCAATACATGCTGGACTATCACCTCCTCCTCAGTACTAGCTAGTTTAGTCATGTTGGGCTTGCAATCGCGTCGTGAAGTAGTTCCAGCAAGTCGGTCACTAAGGGTGCTTTGAGACACGTTGTAGATTGCTGCAGCGCGTCGCTGGGAGAGTGTCGCGTCTTGTTGAATAGCCTGTAAGGCAAGCTGTATATCTGCCTCGTTTAAAGGCTTTTTTGTGTTATTGCGTTGAGACATTGTAGGTAGAGTAAAGTTTGACGTGGTCTTGGCAAAAGTGACCGGCTCGCTTGAGTGACCGGCTCGCTTGTGGAGTACGTTAGCTGACTTCTATTTTGTTGTTTTAGAAAGTTTAAAAGTGAGAGGTCCTAGTGGCCCGCGCGCCAACGTCTTTCACCGCCTCAACTATTCTGCCACCCCGCGCTGAGCATGGAGCTGGCACGCTGCACTATCTCATAACGTACTCTCTTGCAGTTCTCTTTACCGCTCATTTGCAGTAAGTACTTTCCTTGCGACATCTGCACCACTGCTCCCCACTACGCGATCGAAGTCCAAAGCACAAAGCGAATCGAACGCAACCCCCACACACAACATGGCGCCGAAGAATAAGGGCAAGGGCAAAGATGCCGGCGACTCGAAAGACGCAGGCGGCGGTGGCAAGAGCAAACTCAAGCCTGCAACTTCGATCAACGTACGGCATATCCTGTGCGAGAAACACAGCAAGAAGGAGGAAGCACTTGAGAAGATACGGAACGGAGCCAAGTTCGATGAGGTTGCGCGAGAGATGAGCGAAGACAAGGCGAGACAGGGTACGTTCCTATTTCCATGCAATCCGCTGCGTGTACAATGTGGCAGCTGGGCTGGCAAGACCTAGTGTACAAGACATAACTGTATATCGAGGCCGTGCTAACGACCTCTTCAGGTGGCTCGTTAGGCTGGAAAGTCCGCGGCAGTCTCATGCTGGATTTCGAGAAGGTTGCGTATGACCTTGAGCCCAGTACGACTGGCGCGCCGAAGATTGGGGAGGTCAAGACGAGTGAAGGATATCACATCATTATGGTGGAGGGTAGAAAATAGAGGCAATACTGAGATACGAGCGGCGATGCTGGGTGTGTGTGAGCGGCAATGATGCGAGAGGATGGCAACCCACCACGAACAATCAGGGACCAACGCGAACTATGCCAATTGGGGGTGGAAGCAACACCAGGCATCCGCTCATTGCCGGCCGCAGTATGCCGGTATGAGCGTTGTTTCCAACAGTCAATGCTGCAAGAGCACCCACATCAAGCTAACTTTCGACTTTGGGTTCGAACGTTAGTACACAACTACTAGCATGGAAACCGACGTGCACTCTGTGGACCCTTCAACAGGAGATCCCTGCCTCGGGCACTTTCACCGCCACAGCCGCTTTGACCCCACACCACCATCGCGTATCTATTTACAGATCACGGCCGGTACGAAGAAGCTCGTTTTTTTTTTGGCCGATTACTCTAAAGAACACTAAAACACCTACCTTACTTCAGCTTGCTCTCTTTCTGTCTACGCAACAGAACATTTTAAAGCACTTATACAAAGTTACAGCAGAGGTAATTTCCTACTGTTAATGCTTATTTTGTACTAATTGAATACGTTGTGTGGTTGTAGTGGTATGCGTGATAGGATAAGCTGTTGTTGGGGTGTTCCCTATTAATCGGCCAAAGGAAACGAGCTTCCTCGTACTACCCCGGTATATAAGGTTTTGAGCTCCGATATGAATACGAGAAAGGAAAGCAGGACTTGACCGCTGTTCGGTCACCACATGGCCGATGATCCTCCTGAAACGACAGATCATCCTGAATTTCCTCACTGCCATTGGCTCCACATGAGAGATCTGCGTGCAATATAGGTACACACAGCGCCACAATAATTCTTATTCGTGAGAGCCTACGCTACGCTACTCAGTACAAGGGGGGTGCCTGAACGGATTGGCAAACTCGTATTCCAATCCGTTCAGGCACCCCCCTTGTACAGCACAAATACCTAATGTCCCCTTGACGTTGTGAGAAATCATCGAGCCGAACTTGCGCATTGCCTTCCGGTTCTTTCTTTAAACACATTCGTTATCTTCACAGTCGCTCGCTCAACATAATAATGAAGGTTTCTGCGCTTGCTGTGGCCCAAGCCGGCCTACTTAATATACTGCCAGCATCAGCTGAGTACGTATGGCCGAGCAAGCACGACAAGATGGAAGACTTGCTGGTCTTACAAAGTGGTTATATCCGCGAGGGCTTCATCGATGGTGCGCAGTTGAATATTCCAGGGCTCATTGTGACCATCCGACTTACACGTGCTAGGCATATCACCATGCTCATTCAACTCCAAATCGCCTGCACGGCAGACCGCGGCAGAATGGATTCGAACAGCGTTCCATGACATGGCGACATTCGACAAAGCCACTGGTGTTGGCGGCCTAGATGCTTCCATCCAATTTGAGACAGACCGCGCTGAGAATGCCGGTGATGCTTTCAATGGTACCTTCGGCTTCACGAACAACTACTACAGCATTCGAACTTCTGCTGCTGATCTGATTGCTCTTTCCACAGTCCTTGCTGTGGGCCACTGTGGCGGACCGAAGATCCCATTGCGCGTTGGTCGAGTTGATGCAACTGAAGGCGGCGCTTTAGGTGTGCCAGAGCCGCAGCAGGATCTTGACACCCACAAGCAGATGTTTGCCAAAGCGGGCTTCAGTACTGGTAAAAAATGCTCCTGTCGTCAGTGTAGTGATTCTGCTAACAAATCTCAGAGGATATGATTGCCATGGTAGCCTGCGGCCACACAATGGGAGGTGTGCACGGCAAGACATTCCCAGAAATCACCGAAAACAACACAGAGACCAATGTAGTCCACTTTGACTCTACTTTCAGTACTTTCGATAATAAAGTCGCGACAGAGTACCTTAACGGTACCACTCAGAACCCGCTTATCGTTGCGAACAATGACACATTCAATTCCGACAAGCGCATCTTCGCCGCCGACAACAATGTCACCATGAAAGCCCTCGCCTCAGATTCAAAGACTTTCAAGTCTATGTGCTCTGATATCTTTGCTCGCATGCTCGACACCGTGCCCTCTACCGTCACTCTCTCCGAACCTCTCGAGCCCTTCCCACTCAAACCTTACATCACCTCCTTCTCACTCGCAAACTCCACCCACATCACCCTCACCGGCCGTATCCGCCTCCTCACCGCATCCGACAGATACGACGACGAGCGTGTGA